GAGATCTGATTTACACAATAAAACATCAGCCGAGCTAGATATTGGTAGGGCTTGGCTATGGATCCAGGAATTTCAAGACACATACTTTAGGTACTGTAAAGCAGTTCTTGGCTTTTCAGCTTCTAGTAAAGTGCAAACATGTGAAGAGTCAAGTATTCTACAAAATCTGTTATTTGGGAGGATTCCGTTAGGCATCTTGATTGGTTACTCTAATCATTTAACTCCGGCAGGATGTGAACTGTTTTTGCATTATGCTGCTACTGGAAATGGCTCTCAATTTGCAGAAACACAAAATTCTGGATTGAAGCTAAGAAGACAGAAATGCGATTGGCAAGAGGGTTCGGTTACATGGACTGAAAATTATACTAGAACAGAGGCTATTGCAGGAACCCGAGTTGCCTTTGAAATAATAGATGTTACTGAGAGTTTGTCACATTCTATTGAGACTGAAGAGAATGGATTGAATTTAATCTGCCAAGTGAAATCAAAGACTGGGAATTATCTGTTCAAGTGTATCAAGAGGCTACTTCAACTGAAAATCGATGAAGATGATGATCTTCAAATGAGAAGCGATCTTCTCGCTAGACTGATCAGATGGAGATGTCAAGGGAAAGATGTATTTCTGAAAAATAAGGATCTCAGCGACTTAGTCGATGCTTTGAGTTGTACACCACCTTACCTGTAAGCAATTTTTGTGAATGCAGAGCTAAACATGCTGATTTACTATAGATTATTTGGAAGAACAAAGAGAGCAAAGAATTCTGTTGGCTGGACAAAACTTCACAGTTACGGAAGGTGCAGCTAAAGAGAAGACTGTAATACACAAATGCAAATATGCAAAAGATACTAAAAATCCCCGCATATCCAGCTGACATAAGGTTAGTCCTCATTTACAAACGTAAATTATTGTTATTTCAATGCTGTTATGATTGTAGTAATTTGTAAATGCATTTTAATTCATATTTAAAGATTGACAAACCTTGTCCTATTTTCCTATCCATGGTGATGGCGCATTGATTTTGTGTTTATTTTTGAAAAATAGCATTTTAATGTTTCGTGTCATGCTGCGTTTATGTTTTCATACCAGAAGTATTATGAAACTCTTTCGGTAAAAGAAGCAAGATTGCCTAATCAAGCGTTTGTTCATGTTATGAAGTAAAACAAAACATTTGCATTCTTAATACTCAATTGGACACTTGTATTTTATTATATCATCAAAAAAATGGGTTTTCTTTTCTGCAATAAACATTTCATACTATTTATGCAGTTGTAACCAAAGAAATGTTGGTTCTGTCACTATCAAACATGACTAATTTGTTTCCTCTTGGTTTAAGCCACAAATTTGATACCTGACATTTACATAGAAATATTTAGATCTCGCTTATACAAATAAAAGCAAGTCAATCTCAAATTTATTCATAACAAGGCTTAAGAAATGTAATCTCAATCTATCTGTGAGGGGGCTGCTTATAATCAGTTTGGCACTTACTCTCATTGTAGGGACGGGCATAATTGCAGGAACTACAACTTTTGCTGCATAACCGAACCATGTCGACCTATTCTTTGTACATTTACCCATATTTCACATTTTCCAATGCTACTCATTTTTATGGCTACCGGATCATTTCCCAGCGGCACATGAACATCCTATGGGAAAGACGTTAAAGAATGGTGTTACTGAAATATGCAAATTAAGATGAAATGTCATATTCGAAGTAGTAAAGATTGTAGAGGTAGAATACACCTTGTACCATATCATAGGCTGCTTTTTGTGCCAAGAGTGCATCAAGCATGACATTTGAAGTGTTGCTAAAAAAGGAATTGGAGGGAAAATTGTTTAATTTTTTAAACTGATTAATGGTTTGTTGTCGCGTGACAAAATGTAAAGTACGATGTGAAAAATGATGTATATGTAACACGAATGACCTTTTTTTATCTACTTAGCTGAAGAACTACCACTGTCAGTTTGAAGACTTTTTGCTCATCTTTTCAGACCTATCCTGTCCATGTAAAAGCAATCAAATCTCACTGGTGCACATTTATTGGAAGTTAGGACATGTTTGGGACACAGCTTTGTAGGATTAGATGGCACAATGATGAAGATGATAGTAGGGCTGTACAAAAAAAATCATGAAATGGCAAATTGAATCAACCTCGTTAGTTTGAATTCATCAGTGTTCTAAAATGCGTAATGTGTTGCGATGCGTCGAATCCGAGAATCAAGAATCACAAGTTTAAGTGTGACAATGTGAAGAATAAGCGTCATAATGTGTTTCGTATTTTTAAGGTATTAAATATATTTTTATATAAAAAAATAGATTTTTTACCAAAAAAAAAAATAAATAAATAAAATTGGGCTGCATAATGCTCACCTAGGCGCGCGCATTGCGCCGTCTTTTAGATGGAAACACATTTTCCCGCGCATCATCGAATTCGACGCATTTTGGCCTAGGCGCGTCTAGACAGCGCATTTTCACAAGTTTTAGAACACTGGAATTCATATGATCATATTTTATGATCCGTGAGATAAAATATTATGACATATATGTAAAACCAAACGGGTATTGAATACACATGGTCATAATTGAAGGGTCACAAATTATTTATTAGTCGCAAAGTACAATTAAAGGGTCGCAATCACTCTTGATCTTGCCCTACCCCCCTCTGCCACCGTTGACAACACCTAAATTGTTGGTACCACCTCAAATCCACAATCCTCCACCACCTCCTCCACCTCTAATTCAGATCCGAGTGAAATATATGGCATGGCAGGCTCTTCATCTCACCCTACCTCCACCTCCGATTCAAATCTAAATGGCAACTTGCAATTTTTTCCGGTGATGGTAGAGGGATTAGGTATAATAATTACCTCCTGATAACTGGAAAAAAAATAATTGAATCTGATTTTTGAATTTAAAACACGTGATTTTTTAAAGTTGAAATTTAAATGTAGTGTTTAGAATAATTTTCTCAATTCTAATTAATTTTTAATGGGGTAGTTACAAAAATACCTTTAAAATTAGAAGTGTTTTGAAAAATCATGAATGAAAAGTTTTTAGGAAGTAAAAAATACTGTGTAAAATTAAAAAAGTGACACAATGTCACTTTTTTATAAAAATTGTCATTTTTTTGCTTTTTCAAAAAAAGTGACAAACTCAAAAAAAGTGATATAATTCAAAAAAAAAAGTGACGCTAAAAAAAGTGACAAAACACTAATCAAAACCTATGTTTGTTATTCAAAAAAGTGATAGAAATTTTTAAAAAGTAACGAACAATAAAAAATGAAAAAAAAATTCAGAAAAGTGGAGAAAAAAAGTGACACGGTTTACTATTTCAAAGAGTTAAATGCTTGTTTGGCCATCTATATTTTACTTTATTGTTTGTGTTTGCACAATGCTTCAGCCACCTCAAGTTCATCCCACCCACCAGCAGCCATCTCCACTACTAGCGCTTCCACCGGCTGTACCTCCACCACCAGTAGTTTCACCGCCAGAACTTCCACCGATTATACCTCCACCACAAGCATTCCTTGCACCTGTCCAACACCCTCCACCAACACCAGCCCCAACAATAAAGGCACCCGCTCCCTCACCAACAATACCCCCCACCAATTTCGCCAGCGCCAATGCCACCACGACCTATTGCATCACCAACACCCAGCACCAAGTTTTGGTTCTCTCACCTGCATCAACATCTAGTATGCACAAGAAAAAGAAGCATAAGCACAGGCACAGGCACAGGCACAAGTACAGACATCATCATACACTAGCACCTGCACCGACTGACCTGAGCCCTCCAGCACCACCCACAGTTCAAGATACCGAGGAAACAACACCAGCACCATCTCAACAGTCTCCAACCCTCCACCCCACCTATCAAGAACGACGGATCCGTGGTTTTGGGACGATTTGGGGATTTCTCTTTGTAATCTATTGGTTTGGGGCTTTTGGGACGTATTATTTATGGCGATTAGAGGTTTTAATTTGGTTAAAGCGTATTAATCTAATTTGTTTTATTTTTGAAGTAACTGGCCTAATTTCCCCATTTTTAATTCCATCTCCATCGGCTATCCATTGAGCCCAATAATGACATACAAAGCCTCTCATGCTTTGTAACTGCATTTTTACATCAATTAGACAAATTTTTATCTTCACTTTGATAAGCAAAATTATTCAGTCTAAGAGGATGGAGGTAATTCTGCTTGATGATTGCAATTTCCTTTTTCACATTGTTCTCAAATTATTGTCTTTGAATAATGCTGTATGAACAAGTTCAATGACAGGCCACTTTTTGACAGTTTGGTTTGGTAGTTTTTGAATGAAAGCTTTTATTTAACTGTCAATGAAAATTTGCCAATCGTAACTATATATAAAAATTTGTCATTGAGTCTGTTTTGATAGCAGAACTGATTTTCTTTAATTTTGAATTACTTATTTTCAAAACCCTTGAAAACACTGCCACCCAAATCAGATTCTCAGCCTAAATCCTAAAAATAATATCCCCCAAGTCCCAACCCAGATTATTTTATCAGTGATTATTTCTGGGAATAACAAGTAAACTTCTTCAACTTAAGGGATAAGCGAGTAAAATCTCTTACAGTCACATATGGCTATATACAAGGATTTTGCATCAAAATTGGTGAAACCTAAAAGCACGCGTTCATCTGGCAATTCATCAAATAAAGTACTAAAATATCATAATCCAGATTTTCTTGGCCGGATTTCATAATTGTTTTATCACGTCTGTAATAACAAAACTAAGATACATACATTTCTATAAGCAGTTTTATTACATTCAACTCAATCCTAAACATATCTGTATTAATGGAGAATGTTATAAATGTACAACTTTTCATTCCCCTCAAACCAAGCCCAATCCAAGCCAGGCCTTTTGAATTCTCGATCCTGTATTCGAGTATTTATGTGGCAAAGATGAGGTATCTCAGCCTTCGTTATTTGATGGCTACGGGAATTTATATACTGATTACTTCTTCGTACTCGTTATGCAGTTCTCTTAACCAATGAAATTTTAGTCGGATCACCGCCCCATTCTTCGAACACCACTAACAGATTCCCGGTTGGTTTCAACCACGAACGTGGAACATGATACCTGACATTTACAGTTTCAGTTAAAGATCAAAAACATAATATTACTGTTAAGCAAGTGTGAAAATATGTCTTACCATCTCTGAGAAGGCTGTCCACAATCACTTTGGCATTTCGTCTCTTTGAATATACCGGCGTAATTACAGGCCCCGCAGTTCCCTTTCGCTATATAACCAGGCCAGTGTCGACCTATGCCTTCGCCGTTTATCCATATTTCACCTTTTCCCATGCTTATCATATCTAAGGCTAATGGATCATTTCCTTCTGGTGCATTAAAGGTAGCCTGTAATGACCACAACAGATTGGAATTAAGGTAATTAAGTTAATCGCCTGTAAGACTCAAAAAAGAATTGACGATATAGGCATGTTTACCTTGTACCATGTAAGAGGCTGCTTTTGTGCCAATTGTGATCCCTGTATCCATTCAACCGAGGAACTTCCACTGACAGTATGAAGGCTTAATGATTCACCTTTCAAACCGACCTATCCACATTATAGTTTCTCAAATATCAATCCAAAAGCTTTCCATCTCGTGTTCATTTCATAGGAAAGTTAAAACTCGAAGCAAGCGAAGCACAAACCTTATAAGACCATTTCTGCTTCGTCAAGTCTCTTGTGCCCTCGTTGAGTCCCTTCAAGCTGACTGGACCCAGCACTCCAGTATTCCATTTCTCGTAATGCACACCAACATTCTGTGGTAAATAAAATAGAACTTAAAGAGTAAGAGCTTGATTGAAACTTGTTGTAACATTACAGCAAGAGTACAGATCACAAACTAACCGCAATACCCACAGCAACACTGAGTAAAGAGATTTTGTTAACACCAGCTCTCAAATTCACGTAATCGCTAAATGTCAGTTTTGGATTATCCAAGCTCCCATACGTGGTTCCTATCATAGAATCAGGAATACAGAACATTATGCTCAATTGGATTTGATAGCTTTAAACAATAGGAGGAAGGTTCAGCTACCTGATAACTTGCCATTGATAAAAACATGCAAGGCATGACCAGCAGACATGATAGAGAGAAGAGGCCACTGTCCACTCTTTAGAAATCCTTCATTAGATGCTATATTGACGCTGTATTCCGCAACAAGAAATGCAGTAAACAAAGACGTTAAAAAAGAGAAATATGAGTTTCAAACTTGCAGCAAGGAACACTGTGGGATTATTTTTTATACACTTACTCTGTCATGTACCATAAATAATCTGAGGAGTCTCTGGTAACATATAGTTGCTCTAATAAACCATCCCTTACAAGTGCATCACTGTTATCAGCTGAAGGAGTTTCTTCATTGTATGACTGCCATGATAACCCATTACTTATAGGTGTCATCTTCGCCTTTGAGCTTGGTACGTTAACCTGCAGCCGAAGACATTGAAAATTACAATCTCATTCTTGAAAATCATTTGCTTCAATATGCTAATTTTCTAGGAAAGAAATAAAGTTGTTTGGAAAGAATTGACATAACTTTGCTTTGTGAATAATCAAGACATCGTCAACCTTAAAAATATTATATTATTCTTGACCAATAAAGAAAGTTATTTTGTTTACGATCGTTAAGGAACCTTTTTGCTTACTTTTGCAGTGTTGTATACTTCAGTCTTGCAGTCAGGCAGAATGCTGATGGACCAAGCAGGCAGATCATATGGATGATTTTGGAACATCAGTTTTGTAGAATATGTAGGGTCATAGTTTGAAAGGAAAGCAGCACAAGCCCCAGATCTTGATCTGAATACGTGAACCTAGATGGATGTGACAAGGCAGATTAGGATTGCAGTTCAGTTGTAAGTACACAAGTTACATGTATACATAGATTTGAGAAAGCCATATCGAGGTTACCTCTTGATTCTTCCCTGGCCAGGTTACGGTTGGATATGATGAAACTAAAGCCGGTTCACATTGCTTAATTGCTTTATGCAAATTTCTTAAGTGGCCCCATTTTGGCTCAGACGGTAGTCCTGTTGCACAGTAAACCAATTCATCGTGATGAGGATCCATAAGCTTCAACTAAAAACATGACCATTGATAATCCATTATGTGGGTTTTGGAGCATACCATATTCATCTAATGGAGCGTCATAATCGTAGCTTGTGGCAACGAAAAGACCTGCAGCTGTTCGGCCAAAATTGGTTCCTCCATGGTACTGTGGCCGCCAAATATTTCAATAAAACATATTAGATATCTTAACTAAACAAATACATCACCTTATCTTACAAAATCATGAACATGATTATTCTTTACAAAGAATGAATATCGACTAACCATATAATAATTGAAGAATGAACCATTATTCTGGACAAACCGAGCCACTGAAAAAGCCAAGTCTTCTACAGGTCTGTGAGGAACTGGACCACCATATTGTGTATACCTAAGGGAAATAGAGGAGAAAAACAGGGGATATCAACTGTCTAAAACCTGATCAATACATTAAGTCGAAAAAAGGGATTGTGATATCAGTAACTAACCAGCCGGTCCAGATTTCAGTCCACATTTTGGGTTTATTGGGATTTTTAGGACGAAAGCCTTCGCAGTAAAAACCATTGCAACTATCTATCTGCAACATGATGAAACAATATAGATTTTATACATCAGTCGACTTTTGTTCACTACATACCAAACATGTTCTTGGTGAAGACATCAAAAATAAGTAACGACTGGAAAGCTAGGAATTGCTTACAATATTAGCCGGGACGTCTTCTTGTTTGCACATGATCCATGGGACACCAGTGTTCAGTCCCTCAGCCATATTTGCTGCCCATGCTGTATAAGCCTTACCAGGAGCACCAATTTCCCATTCAACTGGTCCATATTCATTTTCTATCTGCATTATTAGATTACAATATCGATTAAAACAACAATTTTCAATGCATAAATGAAGGATAATGACAAATTAAAAAGAGATCATAATATTTTCCAACCTGTGACATAATTATTGGACCTCCCTGAGGCTCAAACAATTTTTCTGACTTCATAATATTCACAATTTTTTGAACAAATCCTTGCATAGCCACCTTAAACATAGTCAACAAGAAAACAGAAGAATTAACTATGAAGTAACGAAAAACTATTCTTCTCATAGTACGCCACAAAGATTTACGCACCTTGAAGGGCTTATTGTCTGTTCTAAATTCTATACCTGGTACAAATTTTAGCCAAACGGGAAATCCCCTGCAAAAAAACAGAGCAAATAATCACATGCCTCTTACGTATATTAAAGATGGATTAAAACTATACATAAACTATGAACCAACCACAAGGAAAGCGAAAAACGAGTCGTCGCATAAATGATTTGGACTTGCACAAACCTATACTACGACATCGTTAAGTCTTTGTCTCAATAAATATAGAGTTGACTACATAAATCCTTTTTCGCCACTCTGTTTCACAATGATTTGGACTTGCGAAAAATGAGCATTGCCTCTTATGTAAATTAAATATAAATTTAACTATACATTCCATCTAAAGTGCAATTAGCCACTTTGAACAATTCGCCAATCACAAGGCGAGAAAAAATGAGTTACCACGTAAATTATTTTGACTTGCACAAACCTAGACTAAGACAAAACTTAAATCTTTTTTTTTTTCAATAAATATAGGGTCGACTACATAACTCCACTTTCTCCACTCTATTCGGTCAAGAAAATCTAAAGACAGAATTTGCATGTCTATTCGTGTGAGAGCATTACCCAAAGTTCCATTCTGCACAGACATAGGGGCCAATGCGGAGGTGAACATAGAGGCCTGCTTGTTGCACCAGCTTAATGAACTTGACAAGATCAAACCTTCCCTCAAAATTATACTGTAAAAATTGAATTAAATCCAAAATTAAACACTCAGTATTTGCACAAAAATTAATTAACAAAAATTAATCAGAGGTTTTTTCCATACTTTCCCAGGAGAAGGCTCATGCCCATTCCAAAATACATAAGTCTGTATAACATCCAATCCTCCATCTTTAGCCTTCTGTATAAGATCAGGCCACATCTATGTACACAAAAACAAGAAAACAAACAAAATTATTATGGTTAAACACTGGAGAAAAAGGAGAAATTCATTAGTGGGGTCCACGTCCATCTACTCTATTTTATTTTTTACCTACTTTGAGTACGAGTTATTGTGATTTGAATGGACAGATATGAAGAACTGAAACATTAGCAATTTTACCTGAGGAGTGCTTCTTGGGTAGTGAATGGAGCCAGAAATCAAAATCTTTCTTTGCCCATTAATAATGAAGGCTTTATCATCATACGAGACAGTGGCTCTAACCGAAGAACAAGCCAATGTGAGAAAAACTAGAATCAGTAAAATGTTGATTCTCAACATCTTCCACATCAAACCCATGAGTTTTTTTCAGAATCTGGTTTCTGGGTTGGGGTCCGTTTTGTTATTGAAATCACTTTATACTCTATTTTTGCATAGAAAAGAACATCAGAAACAAAAAGAAACAGAGAATGTCAGGTTGCGTCTTTTCTTCTTCTTACTTCCTTTTTGCCTCTTTCGAGGATCAAAGTATATTTATAGAGATTTAGATGGCTGGGAAAATGGAGTATTTGGTGGTGTGCATGAAAAAAGGGAGAAGCTGCAACTGCTTTATAAAGAGGGAGGCAAGGGATTCGGATTTGGGTTGGGATTGGGGTCTAAATTTGTGTGGGGTCGATTGGCTCACCATTTCTTACACGGGACTTAATTATAATCCAATTTGTCAAAAATAAGTAGCTTTTGGCCAAATATTTGCTAGAATGCTGGATAAAAAGTCGATGACTTTGAAAAAGAAAAATACTCCACTTAATAACAAAGTCACTTGGTTACTTTGATGAATAACAAGTTTGTTTTTATGTCTTCTTATCCTATTGTCTTGAACATTTTTTTTTTTTTCTTTTGAACTTTATGCACACATTTCACATATCTATTTCGTGTAATCATCTCCAATTATGTCTGCGACATATTCATCACGAGAATTTTATGTTTTCTATTAATTTTCTTATGGAGAAAGCATACGTGTTTACATTCCTTAATCTTGTTCGATCACATACAGTACACGTTGCAAATATAAAATGTTCGTCCCAAGAAATCATTTGTTCTATTAATCTTTCTTGTGTATTAATCTCTTATGTGTGTCATCTATAATCATGTTTAATATCATTCGGCTTAAAATAATACACATGTGGTAAGTGAACATGCTCTTTTCAAGAAAATCATATTTAATTGTATTAACATTTAGATCTTGTTTGTTTCCACTAAAAAGTGGGTTAAAATCCTAGTAGACGCTTAATTTTAACCACACAATTCATGGGACGGACAACTTTTCAACCGCAGATTTGATCATGTCTTATCAAAATCTACTAAAAATTTTATTTTTATCTAAATCAAATAGGGCTTAATTTGGCGTGACATGTTAAGCGTAGTTTAGATATTACCTTAGTATTTAAGCATTACTTTTGTACTTAAAACAATGCAGTAATGATCATTTAAAACGTTTGAACATCTTTTTCAGTCAAGTAAATGTAGTTAGTATGAAATTTCAATTTCATTGAAAGTTGGGAACCATCTCAACAAAAGTCGTCAATTCCTAAGAAGCTTTGAGATTTCAATGCTGAATTGCGTGCCACTTATGGTGAAATTAATTTCTAGGAATCTATAGTCATGCCCTAAATCTAATAAGATTAATACTTTCAAAAAAATAATTGTTTAAAGAATTTCGCATGACAATATGGAAAAAAATATCCACATATTTAATTTGCCTTAAATAGTGGATATTTAGCATGTGATTACGAAGACAATATCGAAGAGAATTAACGGAAAAAATATCCACATATTTAATTTGATATAAAATTTCTCCACACATCACATGGGAATTATCTCTAGTTTGATATTTAATTTGATTTAAAAATTTGTTAAAATCAACAATCACGCTACATTGTCAAAAAAGTTTGATATCTTCCTTGACCAGAATGTCGTGTGACATTCTGTCATTGGATCGTTTTAAAAACAGTTCACTTTTACATCCAATCATTTCCTGCCACTAATATATCTGTCAAAGTAACTTAATTCTAAAATCAATGTATAAAAATATATCAACTCACGTGATGTCAAACTTGATGTACATGTAATATGATTGACAATTTAATTTATAATAGATAAAAATTGAGTAGAGATAAGTATATAGCAATTGTGTAGTTGAATTGAATTTCGATCAAATTTATAATTTTTGCTACAAAATTGCCATTCGTGGAGAATAGTCAAAATGCAAGATATTCTTGAAGGAAAATTTTACCAAATCCAATAAGGAACGAAGACTTACCAAAATTGCCTTCAATAACACATTTTGTCATATTGTTTTTGGTTGAAATGAAAAGTCTAGGTAGTTAGATACCGTTAGAGGTACATTTATTAAAGCAATGCGTACAAGAGATGGATACATTGTGGGTATGAAGCTAAAGGACATATGTCCTAAAGTCACCTATACACTACCAACCACTTCACCAAAATACCCAATTAGGTTTTTCCACCAAATTGGGTTACTATAACTTTCTACATAAAGGTTTATTATTATTATTATTATTATTATTAAAAAAACTCGTAAGGGTTTTTCGTGCATGTATAAGATACAAAATGTTCTTGAGGAAAATCAAGAAAAGAATGCAAAAAAATTAAAATTTAACAAAAATCATAAACTAGAATGAAAAGATAGATTTAATTAAATAAAAGTAAGAAATTAAATTTAAATTTGATGAATCAAGAATCGGCGTTACTCTTCTAATGTTATATTATGGGATATCACAACCTTAAATCGTAAAAAATTTGTTATAGATCTAACTTTTTGGTTTTTAGATTCAAAATGCTAACGATAATTTGTTAAAAGCAAAGCATACGCAAAATGAAGACGATAAGTAAACTTTTGTTACAGATAGTGACAGTAAATCATATATGTTCTAGATTTTATTATTGTATTAGACGAAATTATTTTACATGTCAAAATCAAAATTGTTGGAAGCGAAAGCTTTAATAAAAAGGACATAGTAACACATTTAAGGAAAAGTTTACAATTGAACCGAGGTCTCAATTGATGCCTGTTGGGTTTTAATTATGGTGAAAATGTGACATTATAACAATAATGTTGTTATGATATCACTTTTTCTTGTTTTGGTTTCATAGAAAACTGAAAATTCAAGGAGTCAAAAATGACATTTTAACAAATTAATAAATACATTCAATGTAAATAACCCTAACTATTTTCCACTTCACAATTACATTATACTAGAGTTGTTTTCCTGCCCACGGTGGGAAGTCTTATAATGCCCACTCGTCCAAAATACCCAATTAGGTTTTTCCTCCAAATTGGGTTACTATTACTTTCTGCATAAAGGTTTATTATTATTATTATTTTAAAAAAAAAAAACTCGTAAGGGTTTTTCGTGCATGTATAAGATACAAAATGTTCTTGACAAAAATCAAGAAAAGAATGCAAAAAAATTAAAATTTAACGAAAAAAGTTGTGAAACCCAATTGATCAATCATAAACTAGAATGAAAAGATAGGTTAAATTAAATAAAAGTAAGAAATTAAATTTAAATTTGATGAATCAAGAATCGGCGTTACTCTTCTAATGTTATATTATGGGATATCACATCCTTAAATTGTAAAAAAAATTAGTTATAGATCTAACTTTTTGGTTTTTAGATTCAAAATGCTAACAATAATTTGTTAAAAGCAAAGCATACGCAAAATGAAGACGATAAGTAAACTTTTGTTACAGATAGTGACAGTAAATCATATATGTTAGATTTTATTATTGTATTAGACAAAATTATTTTACATGTCAAAATCAAAATTGTTGGAAGCGAAAGCTTTAATAAAAAGGACATAGTAACACATTTAAGGAAAAGTTTACAATTGAACCGAGGTCTCAATTGATGCTTGTTGGGTTTTAATTATGGTGAAAATGTGACATTATAACAATAATTTTGTTATGATATCACTTTTTCTTGTTTTGGTTTCATAGAAAACTGAAAATTCAAAGAGTCAAAAATGACATTTTAACAAATTAATAAATACATTCAATGTAAATAATTAACTATTTTCCACTTCACAGTTACATTATACTAGAGTTGTTCTCCTGCCCACGATGAGAAGTCTTATAATGTCCACTCGGGGAGAACCCAACGTTAGGTTCTCACATTTGCAGAGAACCAAACGTTGAGTTCTCCTGCCACATCAGCAGATGGGTAGTCTTATTCTGTCCATCGTGGGTAGGAGAACATTTCCATACATTTATACTTAATATTTTGCCTTCACTTTTATTATGGTAAGTCATTACCCTGGTCACATGACAAAGTCCAAAATCCCACTTCACCATTATACTCAAATTAAGTTTATACTCCCAAATTGGGTTAGGATTTAATTATTTATTTATTTTAAATCATTATTATATTTTTCCATTGCATAAAGAGATTTTTCGTGCTTATATAAGATAAGAAAGTTCTTAATAAAATAAAAATACGACAAAAATAAAATTTACTGAAAAGCGACATCTATCGATAAGATTGAATATGTCAAGGTAGATAGAAACTTCAAAATCGATGAATATTAGATCAATTTTAAACTAGATTGGTCGGTACAATTAAATTACAAGTAAGCAAAAAAATAAATTTAAAATGTTACGAGTCTAAAATTAGTATTAATCTCATAGCCAGCTAGAACATTAGGTGGTCGCTCCCTATTTATGGGAGGCCCCCAATTTTTGAAATTTACATATTTTTAACTTTATCTTTTTTATGAAAAAATTTGTCGATAATAACTAACATTAAAACACAAGAAATAAAAATTTTTTATGGATAATACTTCAAAATTTATTTTACCAATACAAATTTTTTCATTAATAAAATTAAAAAAAAAATAAAAATTCTGTGGGTAATTGAATAATGATTGAAAATAATAATTTAAGATTACAAACAGGTTTTTAGTTAGAAATTTTAGAAAAGTAAATATTTCAATAAATAAAATTAATAGACAAGAATTTCATCAATATATAAAGTAATTAAAATATGAAATTAAATATTATTGAAGAAAAAAATCTTCAAAAATTAAATAAATGTTGAAGTAAGTCTATTTTTATGGGTGAGTATAACAAATTATAGATTTTGTGGCATATTTTCAACATAATAAAACCCTAAATGAATTAATTGAAATAATATAAAAGTCTTGCTCATTAATAACAAAGTTCAATTAGACACGAGATTTATGTTGGAAACTTTTCTTTAAATACCAGTACGATGTCACTTTTTGTTAAAGAGTAATTGGTCTCCAACGAATTCGATTTGGAC